AAGGTGCCGACAGTTTTGCTGACGTCACATTGCGCGAGAACTTCGAGAGTTTCGCAAAGTTCGAGAGTTTTAGAACTCTCGAAAAACGGCCGAAACTCCCGACCGAAACTCTCGAAGTTTCATCACTGCTTTCAAACCCCAGTTACGTTCTAGCGCGGCGGCAAACGCGCGTCCGCGTTCGATTCGTAGCAAAAATCCTCCAAGGCGCGCGGGGCAGTCGAAGCTCGGTGGTTTTAAGGATGTGGATGTTGTGAGGGATTTTGCGTACGCTTTCGCATCGAACTCCGGGCAAGTCAAAACAGCGGCAGACTGGGCTCCCTTATCTTCCGCAGAGCGACGTCGTACAGCGTCGCAAAAACGCGGTTGACACGAAAGCTATAGTCCGCATATTATACTGCGTAAAAGAGGCAAGCCAATATAGGCACTGAGAGTCATGGTATGGGTGTGAACTCCGGGAGCGGGTACGTACATTTGTCGGGTTGAGTTTTTGATTAGTTTTGCTTTTCCCCGGGACTGGCATCATCCTATACCTGGAAACTTATTATGCTAGCTACCTAAAGCCTAGCAGTATTACATGTTCGACGAACATATGCGCACATGTATTGGATTGAAGCGGCCGCCGGACCAGGTATTTATGCACTAGATAACCATGGCGGCGGGCGGCCATGGCGGCAGCACACCAGAATGGATAAGTTTCGAGCGGCCGGGCCGCCGCGCATGTGCTCCAAGCCCTTGGATCTTAGCTGTTTTTTGTTGGTAGTACCAAGGCAGCACGCGCTTTGATAACACGTACATGCTGCATGATGATAACACCGGCACGTGCCAGACTTTCTTCCACGACGAAAATTTCCTATACTGACCAAGATGACGTAGCAATAAAATTGTTCAAGAAGTACTTACAACCTCATATCCTTGATGGCTAAGTTACATATTTGTAGCTTCTACGCCGCGCGCGCACGCTGGCAGTTGCCTGCATGCTAACCTGCCAGGGTTTGGGTGCTTATAGTGGTCAATTTGAGTGAACTCAAAACTTTCGTCGTTTAGGCAGAAGCTGTTCGTATGTCCCAATGTCTACTCCCGCATCTTCGTCCGTTTCAATCCCAAGCTCCTCCTGCAGACGTTCAGAAAGTCGGGGTGTTTTTGCTTTCGTTCTGTAGAGAATACATAGTTAGCAAGATCATCCGCAAGTCAAGAAGAGTGTTCCGTGTGAAGAGCCGATCTTCAAACCAACCGCCAAAAGCTGCGTTTAACTTGGCAGAGCTGACTCTTCCACGTAGTCGCATCAAAATACGAGGGGGCTCATCAGGCGTTCCTCACACGTAGACATGTCTTCATGAGCAAGAAAGGCCGGAACACGCCAAAAGCTCACCTGGAAATCTTTCAGGTTTTTGGTCATGCTTTCGGTTATCTGCGTACAAAGAGACGACGAAGGCAATGAGATTGGTACTTCAACTTCTTCATCAAGAATGTGGCACACACTTCAAGCCCTGCCGTTAACGGAACAACCAGCGAAAAACGACTGCATTTTGTGTGTTGTAATATCTCCTTGCAAGCTTTCCTCCCCTTTCGTTCTCACAGATGGAAACATTTCATCCTCTTCACGCTGGATGATGCAACGTTCAGGACAAGCGACGAGAAAAAGTGACTCACCTGGTTCCACAGCTCCTTGAACATTCGTTTCCGTTTCCGCCATTGAGTCAGTCCGGTCGTGAACCTCTCCTCCACTTTTTTCCGGTCCTCAGCAGTGATCAGAACCTTCCCGTCCCGCAGCGTGACCAGTTTGGCGTCCATAGCGGCATTCTGCGGTGCAGAGACCGTTTCAAGGTTTGAGCAGAAGTAGGCCTTCTTTTAAACCGAAAAGCTAACCTGAAAGTTAACGATCTTTCAACGAGCACACGCTGCGCCTGTTCTAGTGAGAGACCAGTGCTTTTGTTGGAGCCCCACCAAACCTCATAACTACGTACTGACAACTTCGGAGCATAAGACATGAAATCTCGACAAGACTAAGCTGACTGACCTATGAACCAGCTGAGGACGAGGACTCAGAGCTAGGCTTGAGCATGTTAGGAAGAATATTGATAAGAACCTTCTTTGACACAACAGGAACCTTGATTGTCGAAGTACTGCGAAACACAGACTCACTTCGTCTGTCACTTTCTTGAGGCGAGATGCAATCTCTTCCATCGTCAGCGAGGACTCGAGCGTCTTCACCTCTGCACGAAGACTTCCGAGCTGTCAGAAAATGACCAGTTGGCTGCACAAAGCCCCCCAAGTTGTAAACCTGTCCTTAACCTGTCGAATCTCGTTCACGACGTAAAAACCTCAAGTCTCACAATTGCTTCGTCATCTGTTAGACTGGTCGGACTCACACTAACTTTATGCCAACTTTCTACTTTGCAGGTACAGGCTCGCATAGAACAAGATGTTGCCATTTCCATACCCTAAAAGGGTTCCCATCCAGAATCCTAAGATATAGGGAGGTTTTTTCTTTTCTTAAAAGCATATGCAAAGAATGCAGGTACGTTGCACGACACTTCAGGCTCCGACGAACACCCACCTGCTTCGAGTTCTTGGACGCCTCTCTCTGCCTGTGACGAGAAAAAACAAGGATGCATACAGTAGGCCAACTTCAAGGATGACGGCAGCTCTCAAATCTCAAGAATCAAGTGGCGAGCGCAACAAACTGTCACCTAGACAGAGGCTTTTCTAGGGACGTCAACGAAAATCGTTCAGATTTAATGCCTGCACTGACCACGATTACTAAGGGGAGTTCATCACTTGATGCGTACCTCAGCGACCTCGACAGCCAATGCGTCATTCTCCTTTCCCCTCCGCTCCAGTTCCTCCGCTTCTGGCTTCTGCATAATGCATCACGTTCAGTGCATCAGAAACTGGCAGTAAAACTCGGGATCCAGGAAGAGAACATCCCCAATCCTCCGTGTTCTCCAGTGCTCAAAGAAGACATCTTGCTCGTCCCCGCGACTGTATAAGATTATCCTTCAAAAGACATTCCCTTGATGCAGGTGACAATGAAAGGGAATTCGCATACGCCTGATGCCAAGCATGACCGTTTTGCAAGGTCCACTGTCAGCTGACCTCAAAGTAGAAGGAATCGAAGCAACTCAATATTGTGGTGGATAAGACGATATTGAAAGCTCACATCGAACTGGTCTTGATCGGCAAGGAAGACCTTCTGCTTGCCATACTCCTTTACCTGCAAATCAAACGCCTTGACTTGTCAAGCTCCGGTCCCATCATGATGAGCGATAGGTCTTGAATACAATCCAGTGCAGGCCTTTCCAATGCTCCTGCTGCGGGCGTCTGAGTCTCGTTTCGAGAGGACGTTAGGATACAAAAAGACCGATATATATGTCAGAAACCCTCATGTCCTGATGTTACTCAGCTCTTTTGATTGCTTCACTGCAATTTGGATGACCTACTTCTCGAGAACTCCCTGGAAGCGAGGCTGCCAATGGAAGTGGAAACAGCAATCACCTTGACTTTGCCGCTTTCTGCCAAAGAGAGCAGAGCTTTTTCGGCAGCGGCCTTGCTCCGCACGTTGCCAGAGGTCTGGAGATGGTCGGCGACGTACTGAGAGTTCAAAGGCCTGCAGATTATGGAAGATAGGTCAAACTCTCGAAGAATAAAAACCTTTCAGTTTTCCCGTTTTAGAACACTTTGAAAGCTTGTGAAACTTGATCTTTCATAGAGGCAGGCAAATCTTCTGCCTGCTGCAAGTAGACGAAGGCATTCACGGCTATGGAGTCTTCTTGTGATTTGCCTCATGGAAGGTTATCTTCGGTGCAGTCAGTTCCTATGGCTCAAGGTTGTAGTCTCATTGGTAGGTGACAGACACACAATCGTCTTTCAAATGACAATAACTTCAGCTCAAAGACTGTAGTCTAGTTGCTAGGTGGCAGGCTTCGACCAATAATCAGTAGCCTACCTGTTTTGTGCATTGACGAAGTTTAACACAGTTGTGACGGGATCCTCTTTTGGCGCCATCTCAATTGTGGCAATCAATGCGGCAGGGAGTCTGCAAGGGGAACACGTTCAAGAGCTCTCAGCAGCATGCTGATGCTTCACTGAATGTACAAATAAGTTGGAAAGGATTTCAGAGGTGTTGAGTAGCTCTTGCCAGCTTCAGACGCAACCCTGGGTGTTGGTTGTGCCAGTTCTCCAAGAAACAATATTGTTGTTTACAATTGTTTGATGAAGCTTTACTCTTGGCAATTCAAACCAGCATCCTAAAGGAAAGCTCAACGGACTGCAGGTATGAGAGTTCACATTGAAGATTCACAACTCAACGGGGCAATCTGCAATGAGCTTGAAGATACTTAAACTCATGAAGACAAGCGATGATCAGCTGCATTGATCATGCAGCAGCACAAGCTTGGTTCGCAGCCTCACCTTGATCCTCAAAAAGCTGTGCCTCTCTGTTCAGCTTTCAATGATTGGTCCAAAAGGTTCCGCTATGATTGGCAAGTTTTCCAAGGCTGCCTCCCACAGCCTTCATAGGGGACCTTCAGCGAACACGTGACCTCTTTCAAGCAGCATCTCTGAACCGTGAAGGCAAATTAAGCGTGAAGAGGTGTAGCTGGAAATGGACACATTCCATACCTATTCCGCGCCAACTACGGAAGGGGAATAGACAGAACCCCTAAAACCCCAGTTCGCTTGGCGTTGAAAAAGCACTGCCACCATGCAATCACTGCTCATGAATGTCAATGAGCAGATCTTCGAACAATATGATATATGCAGATTCAACATTCCTCCATCTGGCTAGGTTAGCTCAGAGTCAGAGTCAAGTGGCTCATGAGAAAGTTCCCCTTTTGTATTTGAAAGTTGACGCGGGAGAGTTCCCCGAGGCGAAACGTTGCTCTGACGGTTTTCCAGGCATGAGACAAAGTCGCAGGAAGGGAAAGGTAACCTCTCGGTGCCGGCTTTCTTGCCGTTCGCTGCCGGAGCAGTGCCCCGGTCGCTACGTGTGCCGGCTCAGCTTGCACATCGCATCTGTTCTGCACAAGCAAAGCACAGAGGTGCAAGGTTCACGAAGGCATTGGCCCTCGAAATTCCATTTTGTTTCGCTAGAGCTGATGAAAAGTGGATCAAGGTTGCCGCACTCGGCTTTGTTCCCTTGAAAGCATGGATCTTCAGGTCTTGTCGAGGCGGGCCTGCCCCCTCTCAAGCCCGGCTTCCGGTTTTGGGTCGACCAGAGCGAGAGCGGAGCTTAGTAAAAGTAGCAATCTGCTGCCCTTCTTTGGCAGAACATCCAAAACTCCTTTCCTCGATGGACGTGGTGCTGTGAAATTCAGCAAGGGCTTTGGGAGACAAGGCCAGGTGAGAGGAGCGGTAAAAGGGGCGTTCGATGGAAAGGGTGGTGCAGAAGGTTCCTCTGGTAATGGACGTTTTAGCTGCAGATATAGGTTACCTACATTGCAGCAAGGTGCCAAGTCTGCTCTGAGCACCTCAAAGGCAGTTACCAGCTTGTTCATTTCTCCAAGCTGCCACATCGAAAGAACCGCACGCGGAGGCAACCGGAGGCGGCGGGCAGGGAAAGTGCGTGCAATCACAACAGATGAAGCCTACGAGACGCTGGCGGATTTAGAGAAGCGGTTGGATGAGGAAGGGGGAGAGTACGACGACGAGGAATATTATGAGATTCTGCCGGACAAGCGGCGCGCAGCCACCGAGCCCGTGCGGAAAGTTATGGACCTCAGTTGGCTGTGGCTGCTGGAGGAACTGCGTGAGTGCTCCAATTTGTACTAAGAAGTTTTTCTGCGCCTTGGTTTGAGCAGCACTGCAAACTTGCGGAAGTATTCTGTGGAGACCTTCTTGAAAGCTGCTTAAAGTGACCTCTCGAGCTAAGAGAGAGCTCAGTCGCCTCACAAACAGTGAAGCAAGAGAAGTTTCGTGGTACAATCTCTCCGATTGATTGTAGCTCACAGACCCGCTCGTGTGGCTGTTTCGGTCGGCGCTAACCGAGGCAGCATTTGACTTGCATTTCTTTATTTCCTGCTCTTCCGAATTGCTCAAAATCTCTCTTCGCACAACCACTTCGCACCACCACTACTTTGTCCACTATCCTGTCCGTCACATTATCTATGTGAATTTGGGATAGGGTCCTCCCTTCCTTCCTTGTCTTTTAAAGTGCGTCCATCGTCCAGATGCAGCTGGTCTGCCGCCCACTTTTGTTATGTACTCTTAGGTAGAAGTGAGAGCAAAGTCACCATTTCTAGCACACCCCAGCCGATTGCACAGCTTGGATTCTTACGTGACAAAAGTATCAAGAAAGATGTGATTGCTTTCTGTCATTTTTAAAATGGACCACTTCTACCCTCCCTCCACCTTTCCCCATGCATACTTTTCAAGTCCTGCCACTCAAGAGGCCAAAGCGGAGTGTATGGTCTTGCATCGGCGCAAAGTTCCTTACTGTCTTGCCGCGCAGCTGGAGACAGGCGGTCGCGTCCCGAGGAGGCCGTTCGCTACCACTGGCGATGGGCGGTCGAAGGCTTCCTGTGCCACATGTTGGGTGACAACTGGCCCGACCGCCTCGCCCGGTTGACGCGAACCGGGGAGCTCGCGCTCTACCCCGTCCACTTCCAACCGCAAGAGATGCCGTACTTCGAGGCCGAAGTGGACCGGATAGCGGCGCAGGACGCGGAGATGACGGGGAAAGCGCACCTGCAATCGAAGCGGAGGCTCGAGAAGGAAAAGCAGCGAATTCGGGAGAAGTTGGAGGATCAGTGGGAGGCAGGGGAGCGGATGCGCGCGGGGGACGTGCGGGCGTTTTTTACGGAGGAGGAGGAGGCGCGGTATGAGGGGTTCTGGGCGGCATTTGAGGGGCGGTTTGGGGGGAACTGGAAGGAGAGGTTGGTGTGGGACAGGGAGGCAAGGCAGTGGGAGCTGGACGGTGGGTCGCAATACACCTTCACTTTGTTTTGAAGAGAAGAGTTCTGCAGAAGTTGGTGGATCATTTGCAAGGCGTCCTCGCAAGATGTCTCGTGCAGCGAATTGTCAACAGCGCAGAAAGCCTGCTTTGCTTGACTTCACTGGTTCGATCAGACCCCCGGCGACCGAGATTGTCAGTATTCATGTTGAAGGATCGAGACGGGGGTCTCTTCAAGAAACCCAAAGCCAAGAGCTGGCTGAATGTTGGCCTGTGATTTCACCTTTGTGAACTCCTTTAATATCTACAAGATTGTGAGCAAGCGGTGACATCTCGTTGTGCAAGGCAGCTTGGACCAAAGGTCTGATGGCGCTAGCGTTGTTTGGAAACAGGGGAGGTGGTCCGCCCCGCCGAAGAACTGGCGAGTCTTGTATACGGAGCGGACTGGCTGCAGCGAGCCCGGAAGGTTCACGGGGACTCTCAATGGTGGAGAGCCATCCAGGCAGAAAAGGTGATTCTTCGGACTTTCGTTGTATTGCCCCTCCTCCTCCTCTCCAAGATTGGTGTAGCCGAGTCTGAGCGATTCGTGCAAATCGGAGATTCAAACCTGGACCATCTTATCACTCGGCCGCACAAGTGTGTGTAACATGTGTCACGCGCAGCTCGTCTCCTGGTGGTATTTTAAATGCGACGTCAGGACTCGACGCACTCGAGCAGCCGCACAATCGGTTATCTGATTCAAGACTGAGATGTTAATCTGCCCGTCCGAAACCAGTTTTGGATACAGAGGGAATGCAAGACTCGTGGGCTTCTAAGGAGCTGCATGTTCTGACTCTCTCTTATGTTTGGAAACAGTTTGTGTGATCTGTCGCGCCCATCTCTTTCCTATATATGAACCCGTTCTGCACTGGTACTCGACACACCTCTCAATCTTTTCGCGCGAGGCTTTCAAGCAGCGCCTTTAGTGTAACGCGGAGTCACACCCTGTCTTCCAAGAGCACAGTGCTCTATCTATTCTCGCCATTGAACAACTCCCGACTCTAAGCATCCTTTTATTTCTCTTCGAGAAGAGAGTCTGAGCACACCTGTTTGTGCGACGCGCTGGTGCCTTATGTGCGACGGACCCGTTTTATGTAACTTCCCCGCTTCATTTCCTGGTTCGAACTCGTGGTGCCATAATGTGACAGTCATTTTGGTTTTCGGGTGGAAGAGGTCTGGATGCGGTACTACCAGCAAATCAACGTGTGACGTCATACATGCGAGATCGAATGCTATCGGCTCAACCTTAAGGGTTCCCCCTACCGACCCACATTATATAATGTCCGGTTCCAAGCTCAAGCGGGCGTTTGCTGTTTTTCCCTTAGCGTCGAACAACTCCAGTTCCTAAGCGCAGACTGTTTCTTTGCCAGGGGAAAGACTCTTGGGGGCGCAGCGGTTTCAGCAAATTGACGCGCTGACATCATATCTGCGACCGACTCTGCTTTGTGAAACTTATAAGCAACTTCTAAGTTTCAACCCCCAGAATTTGCGGAACCGTAAACACGAGTTCCGTCTGTCTCCAGGGGAAGCAGTTTTGGGCGCAGCAGTTCCAGCAGAGCGACGCGCTGATGTCATACATGCGTCAGACGGAGCTGTGGCCGCACCGTGTGTGGCTGGACGCCAAGGACGAGGTGACGCGGATCGTGAAGGCGGGGAAGCAATGGCCGGCGATTTGGACTACGAAGAAAGAGGAGACGGACGATGAAGTGTGGCTGAGGATTGACGAGGCCGACAAGTTGTTCCATCGGGAGGAGCAGCTGACGCTGCGCAAGTATACCAAAGGTGAGCGGCGGGGTGTGAATGCGGACTGTTCTGGACACGTGGCGCCCATCCAGAAGCGTGGAAGAGTGGACGCGGTAGATTAAATCAATCCAGCACAGTTGAAGGCCTGGCTGAGCTGGAATCGACCTGTTAGTGCAAACGCGTGGAACTTGTGAGAAAGGTAAGCGGCAGCTCAAAATGAATGATTGTGTTTTTCGGGGAGGTCAAACCGTGCTTGCACTGTTTTCTTTACAGGCCTGCGGGGCTTTGAATGAGCCTGCCCTGTACGCCCAATATTTGGAATTTGGTCGCTGAAACGAGCGATTTCATTTTAGAGGAAAGGGGGCCTTCGCCATCTCATGACCCGGGTGATGTTCAAAATATGTTTTCTACGGCATACGGCAACCCTGATCGACTTGGAGATGACTTCTTCACCGGCAAACCGAGTACATATGGATCCCGAAAGAACACGATTTGCGACAGCTTGAGGAAAGCAGTGGCGCCATCAAATGCCCAGCCCATAATCCCAGATTTCGCAGGGTTGATCGAGCTCGAAGTGAACCTGCACCAGAAATCCAAGTGTACGGAGCTTCGGCGACAACACGAAGAGCGACAGCTCGAGAAAACGAGCGGCAATTCGTCATCCATTCTCCGGAATCTCCAGATACAATCAAGCCCACACTTATCGTTTGCAGGCCTGATCGAGCTCGAAATGATCTTCACCGATCCCGAATACGTAGAGCTCCAGTGAAAACACGAGGAGCGACAGCTCGAGAGGTGGAGTGGCGCTTTGACCCCTACCAACACCCTACAGATTCGGATTCCTAATCTGATAAATTCCCCATGGTACAGGCCTGATCGAGCTTGAAATGAACTTGCAGGTGGAGCTTCGGCGACAACACGAAGAGCGGCAACTGGAAAAGAAGGAGTGGCGGGTCAGTTCCTACCGGAAACGAAAAAGCCAGATTCCTAGTCTGTTTAACCCCATTTTGCTGCAGGCCTGATTGAGCTCGAGATGAACCTGCACAAGGAACCCGAGTACGTGGAGCTACGGCGGCAACACGAAGAGCGGCAATTGGAGAAGAAGGAGTGGCGCTTCGGAGCGCTGGCGCAAGCGTACTCGCGCCTCTTCATGGTGGATGGCCGGTTCACGACTGTGCCAGAAGAAGAGGAGAAGCGGCGGAAAGCGGCAGAGCCTCCGGTGCACGACTTGCCCTTGCCGTACGATTACCACTTGGAGGTGAGCGGGACGCAATGGAGGAGTGGGTTCGCCTGCTTTTGGAATGAGCGTTCCACCTCGCCGCAGGTTCCGAGAAGCTTCTGAAGTGCAGCAGTTTGACAAGTTGGTGGATGCAATCGCTTGACAAGCGCCGCTGTTTTCTGGGAGCGTAAGGAAACGCTCCGTCCGGCAGATTTGCGCCCTCCTACGGATTCCTAGGCAACGGATGGTGCTCCTTGTTCGGCGTCCATAGTTGCTTAGCATTGTCTTGATTAAGCGTTTTGGTAGCGGTTTCTGCCTCATGCAAGATTCTTCGTACCCAATGAGGATCTTGCGTGGCGCAGAAAGCGCTACAATTTGCATGCGAATCAGAAAGGTATATCAAGAATTTAACAAAGATGTGCCGCGCTCTCGTGGCCGCCTATCGCCCCGTCGTCCACTGACGTCACTCCGTCAGATGGTCCTTCTGTCTGGCGTCGCTTTCGCATTTGACACGCTCCGCTAGCGCCGCTCGCACAAAGGCTGACCATGTCCTGCGTGGAACTCCCGTCTGTGTTGACGTCATTCTTTACGTATTTCATGTCCTCAGAGTCCAACAACCGTTTTTTCCCCAAGTGGCATCGTCAGTGTTTTGCTCGTTCAATTCTGAATCATACCTTCGCGTTGAGAACTCTGATCTGGTTGGAACTCATAAGGCATGACCACTGTGCAGCCAAACCCGCTCCGGGACGTCACGGGCCGTCCCCGCGACGCGTTCCTTCTGCCCCGGAACCGGAAAGTGCCCAAGAGCTGGCCGCCCCCCGGTTGGGAGGTCCCCGCAGACGAGCTGGCGTTTCTGAAAGAGGGGGAGGATGAGCGGGACTTGTTTGCGGAGGCGGCGCAGCAGGCGATCGAGAAACTGGGTGAGGATCGACTGCGAATCCTGTCATTTTATCCTTTTTCAATATTGCATTGACTGTTTGGAGCTGGCGTTCCTGAAAGAGGTAGACATTGAGCGGGACTTGTTCGCAGAGGCGGCGCAACAAGCGATTGAGAAACTGGGTAGGATCGACCACGGATTTGCCATTCTATTCCTCTCAATGTTGCCTTGACTCTTTGGAGCTGCTTCCTGAAAGAGCGGGTCGACGACCAGGAGTTGTTTGCGAAGCGGCGCAGCAGGCGATCGAAACTAGGTGAGCGGGTTTTGCTTCATGTGGCGTATCTGGACTCTTCTTTTGGTGACGCAAACTTCTCTCAATTGGCTTGAGCTTGCGTTTCTGAGACACGGGAGGACGACCAGGAGTTGTTTGCGGTAGCGGCGCAGGGAGGTGATCGAGAAACTAGATGAGCGAACTTTTCTCGCTGTGATATATCCGGACTCCTCGGTTTGTTGCTTGAGCTGGCGTTTCTGAAAGAGGGGGAGGCTGAGCGAGACTTGTCTGCCGAGGCGGCGCAGCAGGCGATCGAGAAATTAGGTGAGCGACTTTTCTTGCTGTGATGTATCTGGACTCCTCTGTTTGTTGCTGCGACTTGTCTTGATTGGCTTGAGCTGGCGTTTTTGAGATACAGGAGGACGAGCGGGAGTTGTTTGCCGAAGCCGCGCAGCAGGCGATCGAGAAACTATGTTGGTCGAGACTATCTCGCCTTGAGCTATGCTGCGTCGAAAAGCTTGGGGTGTCTATTTTCACCGGTTCAAATTCACCGCGTATTCACTACATTCAGGACTCACCTCATTCCTCCACTTTCATTTCTTTTCAGCAATCTCATAGTTAGCAATGGAAGTCGTCAAGCAAAGGGACGAGCTCTGTTTGGGATCCGCTCACACGCCCTATCCCATTTGGAGCAATCTGTCAGAAGGAAACTCCACATCACTGGTTCTGCATCGTGTTAAAAGTCTCCTTAGTCCCATGTCGGTTTCCTTCTTCGCAGGACCGAAGGCGGCTTTGGAAGTCGTCAAGCAGAGTGGGGAACTCGTTCGGGGAGAAGACGACGACAAACGGTGGCGGCTTTTTTTGAAGCAGTACCATGAGTGGCGGGACGCGAACCTGGAGAGACTCGACAAGGAGGGGAAAGAGATGGTAGAGAACGATCCTTCTCTCGTCTGTTTCCTTCTTTCCCTTGTGTTTGGTTGGCAATCCTTGTACTTCGAAGTCGACGCCAGAATGTTCCTCTGGAGCACTTTTATGAACGGCGGAGAGCAGATCTGGAGAAATCAGCCGGGGGAAAAGAGGTGTTGAGGAACTGGACATAGCCCGAGTCGTGCCCTTCTGGCAATCTGGGGCGGGACAGCCAATTCTTTTTTTGGCTGTGGGATGCATGTCGGGAAATAGTTAAAGGGCTGACTCAGCTGGACTGAACGTCTGGCAGTACCGCCACTATCCTCGACTCTGGTACATTGTTCCCAGCGAAATGGATCAAGGGGGTGTCGATCAATGGTTCTGTTGAATTTGCAAAACTTTCTGTTTTGCCCCTCCTTCGACTTCGGCTAGGTCCAAGAAATGATTTTTTGTACAAAGTTGCATTGTTGGAAGATCTTCCAAAAGCAGACTTTTTTCTTGTATGTGACAACCTGGACCCGCAATCCAGAGTGTTTTCTACAGCGTTTTCTGGGGCCGAGCACTTTCCTTAACCCGTGAACTTAACCCGAAATCTGCTCGTGCAGGACGCTCTGTTCCCGATGGGTTACGAGCCGGGGCGACGGCGGGTGGGCAAAGGGCAGGAGCAGCCGACAGAGGACAAGGAAGTGCGGGGAATGGTGAGGCTGCTGGTTGAGACATGCTTCTTTTTGCCGTTCTTCCGTAGTTGTCAAGCTTTTCTGTTGATGACGGTGTGGTTCTGACGGAGATGAGTCGTGTGGTGATGCTTGATTCTTTCCTTGGGACATGATTTGTGTCGTCATTTTTGGGATGGAGAGTCTCCTTTCGTGGCGCAAATAGCTCCTGGTTGACCTACACAACGATCTGTTTTCAGCACTTTATTCTCCGCGAATCCAGAGCTGGCCAGCCCTTGCGTGCCCAAATACGCGTTGCAAACCCGAATCCAGAAAATAAAACGTTTGTGAAGCGGTGGATGTCGAAAATTATGCTCTCCTGGAGTCCCTCCATGCGGAATCCAGTCTTGCTAGATGAAGCCAGCCCCGAGGTCACAGATTTGAGAGATCCTTCGTTTACGCTTGTCCCGCAAGGTCCTTTGCAAAATTAATCAGCAGACAGCTGTTCAACCGACCTTCTTCTGTGTCAGACTCTTAATCCTCATTCGGATCCTGATCTGTCTGCTATACTATTCTTACGTTACTGTCTTTGTTCGCCGCTTCTCTTTCCACCCCTTCGTCTAACGCCCAGTTTCTACCCCCTTTTTTCTGCAGTACGAGCTACCGTTTCTAGAACGCGGCCAGGTATACGAGGGCTTCGTTACCGGAGTCGATCTCCATGCGGGGGCTATTGTGGCGTACGGGGGGGTGCACGACGGGTGGGTCCGACTCCTCTGTTGGAAGCAAATTATCCCTTTCAAGCCGTATCGCTGTTCGTTGCGTCTTCTATTCAAACCGAGAACTGGGATGGGAACAAGCGATGAGAAGAGATAGAGAATTGCACCGATCAAGCACGGCAGAGCTGACGCGAGAGAGGCGGGAACGATTCTGGAGGTAGTCGCGCATACGGACTTTCGAGACCGCATCCAAAGCTTCGTGTTCGTCCAGAGACCATGCATGCGGATAGCGTTCCCCGCCCCGTATTAGCACCATTCTTCGTCTTGGAAAGAGGAGGCTTCGTAGATCCTCCTACTTTTCAGTTTACATGATAGCGGGTCTAAGTATTAGCACCATTCTTCGTCTTGGAAACAGGAGGCTTCGTAGATCCTCCTACTTTTCAGTTTACATGATAGCGGGTCTAACATCCCATAAGGACTACGCTTCTGCAGGTACATACCTGTTCTTGGGGACGACTGGCGGCACGGCAATTTGTGGGACATCATCGAAGTCGGAACCAAGTGCCTGGTACAAGTGGTGGTAAGTGTCACGGCCCTTGACCCATCCATGCAAGTGCTGCGCTCCGAGTCCTTTTGCCGCTGTCATCTTCTAATGAATCTTTAATAGCAAAACCCAAAAGCATCCTTCAAACCCCCTGTCAAAACCCACCCCCCCAGGTACCAGGATCGATTAGAACGAGATCCACTTGCTTAATAAGGAGACAGCTAAAGAGCTGCTCGGTGAACTTTGTGCCGCAAGCACTACGGGGCCAACGGTTCTAGGGTAACTCACGTTTCAGCTGACGTGTCTGACTCAGCAGTAACCTGTGCTTCTGTGCCGCAGGCCGTCCGGGATCCGTTCCGGTTCCGTTATCCGGTGGAGATGCGCTTCCTGGACCCTGACGTCACCCCCCTGCTGTGAGCCGCCCACATATGCACTATTGCGTTGCAGCTTCTGCTGCTTAATTCGGCAACAGAAATCGACGAGAGGCAGGGAGATACGCCTTGATGGCATGCTCCAGCTCCTGTGATCCTTTATTTGATACTGGCAACGCTCGCTTGCACTGAAAAGCCGCTTGCCCTAAGATACATAACCCTCGGGCACCCAAATCAAAAACCCTAACCAAATAGATCACGCGCTCCGCACCCACACCCACCCTAACCCTCAAATTAACCCCACCCGTCCCCCGGGGGCTTATCTTAGTGCAAGCTGCTCTTCGTGCAAGCTGGCGTTGACTATTATTTGTATCCTTGAGGAAGTTGGTTGCGGCAACCCGAAGCATCGCCAGTGTTTAGAAAACGGTGTACATGCGGGTGCCGTCGGTCACCGCAGTTTCGGGTACCAGTTCCGCTTTCGCAGGAAGCATTCGCGAGTAAATATGGTGGGAGTGCAACCAATTAACGTTGGAAGTTTCATCATTCTGCCTGATGAACTGGGTGTCTCGAAAAAATGTATATGCGGTGCCCAGGAAAATTTTTGTTTCTTTCTCTCGCAAGATCCGGATTTGGCACTCTTGAGCTCTCAAGCTATTGGGAGATAAAGTTCGACAGGGGGCCGGCAGTACAAGCCGAAAACGGATTTTTCCTTTGCTTTTCATTCTCTCTCAGCGCGTGTGCGTGTGTCGCAATTGCTGACGGGGGTCTTCCTTTCGTTCTTGCCAGAAAGGAGACCAAGTTTCAGCGTTCGTTGGGATCGCCCATCATCGGACGAAAAGAGGACGTGGAGTTGGAAGAAGTTTTGGTGAGTCGTTTGTGTGCGCTGCTTCATGATTTTTTCCTAGATGATTTCTGTCGTCTGCTTTCTGGTCGTCCTCTTTTTCGACTTTTATGTGTTCTTCTTCGCTTCTGGGGAGCATCTGCGTGCGCTCCATCATTCGGATATGTTTCCTTTTCCCTGCTTGTATCTTCCATTTTCCTTTCCGGGCTCTCCTTGCACAATTGAAACAAAGCTTACAACTGGACGGGATTCGCAAAAGCACGCCAAGGTGGAGAAACACTGCCCGACAAGCCAGATTGCCTTTCCGAGTCGCGTTCATATCTGAAGGCGCTGCGAAAAGTAACCGCTGGCAAGCTGACCTTAGTCGCCTGTCTCAGATTCAACGTCCTTTAGGTCATCTCGGCCGTGCTGCTTTTGGTCGAATATTCCATTAATCTGCTTCGCCTTGAGGATCCGACGAGACAGCTTCCTGCTCGAACGTTCTAGGCTCTTCACCCTTCCGCAGTTCGCTTTAGCGGGGGCGGTAAGTTGGTCGTCCCTGCATGTACAGATCCATGCCATACCCCACTTGAACAGCAAATGCTTGCGAGAGTTTCAAACGCTGGAGTTTCCAGCCCTGTCTGAAGATAATCTCATCTGTTCCGCTGCTGACAGTTCGAAAGCGGGCGGAAGTACACGAGCGGACCCCGGGAGCGCGTCGAGGAGGCGCTGACCGCCTTCGACCTGGAGCACATGACGCACCCCGACCAAGAATGGGTGAGCGCCCCGGTCAACTGTCCAGGATCTCGTATTTGCGATCTTGGTGTTTTGTGATTTCTGCGATGATGCCGACTTTAAAATCGACAAATTCTGCACTTTCGTCCGGTTGACCGCCTTCGACCTGGAGCACATGACGCACTCCGACCAAGAATGGGTAAGCGCCCAAGGCCTCTCCGCGATCTCCTCTAGCATCGCCTTTTCATTGGAACAGAGAAGCTTCCGGGCTCAAACAATAGTGGATTCAAGAGCATAAAGAAAGCGCAGATTGATCCGAAAGACATCTCTTTGCGAAAGCAGGTTGTGGTGTTGGGTAGTGATACCGTTAGTAAAGAGGTGATATTGAATCCTGACTTGCTCTGCGTTGAGCTTTGAAGCTCCCCCAGCCTCTTTGGAGTTACGCATTGTCTCTATTTACCCTTGCTCAAGGTTCTCCCTCACAAGGGCCTCTTATTGGAACCCCCACCCTCTCTGCAGCTCTACCTGAAAGGCGCGTCAAAGAGCACCCCCTACCTAACCAAGACCCTCATTCAAAAAGTCTTTGAGGACCTCTCACCAATACTGTGAACCCCTCCCCATCCATCTCAACCTTACTGAAGATTCTCCCCAATCACTCTCGCAGACAACTCCCACTAGAACCCTCACCTGCTTTGCAGCTTTCCCGAGTAAGTAAAGCTCGCCATGAATAGCCTTTTCAAAGGGCTCTAACAAGCCCCCCAACTTCTCTGCAGCTCCACCGGAAAGGCATTGTCGAGCAGCGCCTCCTGTTCAACGAAGACCTCGAATCAAAAAGCTTTGAGAACGTTTGACCCGACACTGGGAGCCCCTCACAATACATTTTTGCCTTACGGAGGTTTCTTCTCAATAAGTACGCGAAGTCCCGTATCCAAATTCCTCACCTTCTCTGCAGCTTCAACCGAGGCATAGTTGAGCAGCTCCTTTTGGCCCACAAAGACCCTTGGAATCAGATCTTTATATGGACCTCTCACAATGCGATTCCTTCGCCATGCCTCTCAGTCCTATTGGACCTTCCCTAATCAGTCTCACAAAGACCCGTCACCTGCTTTGCAACGTTTTCGAAGAAGTAAGATTCGACATCAACAACTTTTTAAAAGGCCTCTCACAAGATCCCTCATCTTCTCTCCAGCTCCACCGGAAAGGCATAGTCGAGCAGCGCCTCTTGGCGAACGAAGAGTACGAAGCCGCGGTCGCGACCGGTTCGCCGCTCCCGTTCCCCGTCTTCTACGACTGGGACTACATCGCCGATCCAAACAAGCGGCTAGAAATTCTGCGGGAACACGCAAAGGCAGAAAAGCTGACGGAAGATGGGCGGTCGACGTTGCCGCGAGACCAGCACCGGATAGGGCAACTCATGGAGGACAAGAGGCCCGGGGTTTCGGTTACGAGCAGGGTTACGATCGAGAGCTATACCGAGCGGGTGAGGATTGCGTAACCCGCTTTGGTACCAAGCCGGTTTGGAGGGTTGGGTTGATTCTCGGTGAGCAGCTTAATCGGTGGCGCTTTTTGCAAAGGAAGGCCCGGGATCTTGGTTACGAGGCGGGTTACGATTAAGAGCTATAGTAAGCTGGTGAAAATCCCTAACCCGCTTTGGTGCTAACCGGGTTTGTAGGGGTCGGTTGAGTTTCTGGGTGGGCAGGTTGGCTGGTTGTATTGAACGCTGTTAAACAATGACCCGGGTTTCATTGACGGAGGTCAAGATCAGAGATCAAGACTCCCGTAACTTGGCAGGTCAAGTTGAGAGCTTTACTGACCGGAGGAGGATCCATAGCTTGCTTTGAACTTTACCCGGTTCGGGAAGAACTGGTTGGTTTTCTTGGTGGGCGTGTAGACTGGTGGCATTTGAATGTTGCTTGAATGTGATTTCCTGACGCATCTCCTTCACCGATTTCGGAGGGACGACGTGTAATCAGTGACCTCAAGAGAATGTGAACTACAAACACAAATAGGCCGGGATACTTTCAAGTCTCCGGAATTGGGTGTGTGCGATCTATAGGGTCTCGTGGTGCTGAGAAAAAGATCCCTAAACCCCTTGCTGACAAGGTCTCGCCCGAACGGGCAGCTAGGAAAGCTCGTGCTGAAATAATGTGACACTTCCTGTCAAAGAATGTCGCTTCATGAAAAGAGAAGTAGGCTGCTTTCTCGACGGGCTGAAAAATTACTCGATTAATCTAGGCAATACATGTCGATCGAGGACATTGGTTCGATGTAGAGTGGGTGAGGTCGGTTGGTACTGCTGCATAGAATCCAGAATATCGAAGATTCGGTTTGGCCTCGATCGAAGTTGGAATCAGCCGGTCTGGCTACCAGCCTTGAGATCGAACCACTCATACGAGATGGTGTTTCCGGATCGCAGATGAGTGAGAAGGAGCGGAGCCAGCTTGACCTGGAGTCGGCCCGAAGAGAACGGCAGGTGAGGAATCGGGAATGCCTCGCATTGTGAGAATTCTAGATCCTCTCAAACCCCCAGTTCCGATCACTCGTTGGTATGTTTCAATATCTGTAACGGCTTTTGTGAGTGTCAGGATCAACTGTCAAAGTTTGCAAGCCAGTAAAGCAGTGCGGATCACTTGTGGTTTGTCATATGTCACCGAGCTCACGTTTGAGACCCAAACACGTCACGGTTCTGACTTACATCTACTGTCGACTCGAAAAGCCTCAGCTCTTCGTGCTCTGACTTTTCACGGTTTTAAAAAAGGAGGAGCACGAGAAATTGCATTCGTCTCGTGCAGTCGATTCATTTTAGCGTTGTAAGCTGAAAATGCTTCCTAAGACGACTCAATGAGGTTCTGAACCTTCCCCCCTTCCCGTATCTCGAAGAGTTGCACATACTGAGAAATGGAACCCAAGATTTGAGCGCTTTCCTTGAACCCGCAGGAAATCCGCGCGACCATTATGGATTGGCTGGAGCAGGCGGGCGAGGATTGGACAACGATGGACGCGGAAGAGCTGGAGCAACTGTTTGATGACGTGGAAGAGACGCGGCCGCGTTTCTCGTGGGAGGTGAGGCTGCGGCCGTGTTCTCCCTCCGAGTACTTGAAGAAGCACTACAAACGAATCTGCTATTCCGCTGATTAGATCATTAAGCAAAAAAAGGTTGCATAACAAGGTACAGATCTCGCAGATTACCACATGCTGTTGCGCAGGGAGAGACGGCGCCGCCGTTGTTACGTTCTACTTGGAACAGAATGCTAGAAAGACGAGAACACTTCCACAAGATACCTCAGGTTAGTGAAGCAAATAAACAATAAGAATCCTCCATACCTCCCAGACGAATGGATTTCCATGCTGCTGCGCAGGAGGAGACGGCGCGGCTGTTGGAGCAGGAGGTTGCGTACTACCGCGCGCGTTTGCTCGCGCATGAAGAGTACGACGCGGAGGTGAAGCTGCGCGGGCTTTGGAACGAGACGCCCATCCCGCTGCCGGACATCGATCTCGTCAACAAGGGGTGAGCCGAAACGTCACCTCCGCATTTCAAAATACCCAATTCCCGCAATCTCCGCAACTTCTCGAGCACGTTCTCTCCGCACTTTCTTGGGGAGTGTCGTTCCAAAGTGGAAACGTGCGGGTTGTGGATCGAGAAGCTCATCCCCCTGCCGGACATCGACCTCGTCATCAAGGGGTGATCGGACGCGTTATGTTTGTATCTTTTTGGGAATGCTCCTTTTTCTGAACGAGCAGACGCAGCGCGGCAAGGAGAGGTTAAAATTTCCTGCAAAAGATCTACAGTACTGGCTAAAGCTCTGGTTCGGTTGCCCTGAATATTAATGACGACGATGAATACTTCTCTTATAGCCCGTGCGAATCAAAGGCATGGACGACGATCGAGGGTGTTCAGAAATGAGATCCGAAGTCCCATTCACGGTTAGGATACGACACGGCAAGCAGCAATCGGGCCCCTTCTGCTCACTTCCTATCCTTCTCATAATCCCAAACCCTCAAACTTTTGGTCCTTTGCAGCGGCTTAGATGAGCGGCCGACGCTGTTTGATGATCCGCGCTGCATGCGGCGCGTCAAAGAGCGGCTCGGCGCCTTTCGCAAGAATCAAAATCTCCCCTGAAGGTTCGTGTTTAGGTCGACTCCGTGCTAAAACTTTCTCTTTGTCTTTCCCCAGTGAACTAGACGAGCGGCCGACGCCGCTGATGATCCGCTGATGATCCGCTAATGATGCGGCGCGGCTGGTCGCCTTCTACAGAATCCGTTACCCTTACCCAAAACGCCAATTTTCCGGAACCCTCCATATCCCTTGTCCTATGCAGAGAACTAGACGAGCGGCCGACGCCGCTGACGATCCGCGATCGCATGCGGCGCGGCAAGGAGCGTCTGGTTGCCTTCTACCAAAGTCGTACCCCTATACCATCTACTAGTCCCTAAAATCCTACAACCCCTCTCCTTGGCAGAGAGCTAAACGAGCGGCCGACGCCGCTAATGATCCGCGACCGGATGCGGCGCAGCATGGAGCCGCTGGGCTTCTTGAAAACTCGAAAGCTGCACTAGAAGCCGAGAACCGTAACCCACTTTTTGTAAAGCCCTAAAACTTCAGAACCCTTGTACTTTGTAGTGCACTAGACGAGTGGCCGACGCCGTTGATGATCTGCAACCGGATGCGGCGCGGCAGAGAGCAGCTCGGCGCCTTTTGCAGGAATCAATTCCTCTTAACTTTGAGCTGGAGTAACCAACACAACGTTCAACTTATTATCCTGAAGGTCCGTCTTTGAGTCGTCTCCGTGCTAAAGCTTTCTCTCTGTATCCCACCAGTGAACTGGACGAGCGGCCGACGCCGCTGATGATCCGCGATCGCATGCGGCGCGGC